CTTTCAACTGAAAGTTAATATAATCAATGATTCTTATAATTAAGCACTAGACTGTTTCAACAATTTAATGGATTAACAACTGGACATCCCAGCTAATTTCAATATCACATTTGAAGATGATGACTGCTCCCTCTTGGATACATGAACACTACCTTATCACCACCTCCTGTTTTTCCTCCCATTCCTGTTTACTACTCTACCTTCCAGGCTCCTCTTCTGCCAACTCTTTAATATTTCTTAGTATTCTCTAACATTTGCTCCTTAGTTTCATTCTCTTGCTTTATATTCTAAAAGTACTTATTCATACACCTATTTCAGTTTTCATCATCTAAACAGCTCCTGGCTCTCTGTTTCTAGCTCTAAGATCACATTTCTGGCTTTTTACCTACTAGACATTGCCACCCAAATAACAAAAATGAATTTTAAGGGAACGTATCCAAAACCATATTCATCTTCTCCTCCAAACTTTCTGCTTCTCCTAAGAGTCACTTCTATATGCAATTGTAAAAGTGAGAAACCTGTAAGACATCACAGACTTCTTTATGCTTGCTCCTCCCATAAGTTAAAAGTTTGATCTCTTTCACATGGCAAGAGAAGCTTCACGTTATGGTCTCTACTTGCTGTTCCAGCTTCATCTCCTTCCTCACTTCCCTAAAATGTCTCTTACATTTAACTCCCACTCTGTGAATGCAGTATGCACTTTTCCTTTATTTCACCTAAATTATCTTCCTTACCTTCCTCAACTGTAAATTCCTACTTAATCTCCGACTCACCCTAAGCATCTCCTCTTGGACCCTGGTAATTTGTTCAACATTGTATTTAATGATACAAACCAAAGAAAGTGGCTTCATACTAGAGACAAAACCCTTGTATTACAGTTCACAATCTAGTAGGCCAAATAAGACTACAGATATTTACAAGTAGCTTGATACATATACGGATGAAATAATGGCAGGATGCTATGGCAGCTGAGGAGGCATGCATAATTGTTATGACTATTCCCTGTATCAATTTTGCTTAGACAGAGCCTTGTAGATAAGTAGAAATGTGTCAGATGGAAAAGTTAGGTCAGAGGAAGGCATACGATATTAAGGTACGTTCTGGTACCTGGTAATACAGTGCAGCACATCGAAGAAATGAGGAGCATGGAGTAGAGATTACATTATGAAGACTCCATAAAGAAAAGATAACCAGAAGCCATGTGGAGGATACCTGACAGAAGCCAGACCAGAAGCAGAGAGACAATTAGGAGGCTACTGCAGTATGCCAAGCAAGTAATGATGGCTTAAAAAGTGGTGACAGATGAGAGCAGGATACAGAAGATACTTATCCTTGTTCCAGATACAAAGTAAGGCACATCTTCAGAACAAGTCTAAGAGATAGATGTTCCTATTTTTATACCAGAAATTCGAGCTCTGAAGGATGTTACTTGCTCAAGATAACACAGCTAACAAGTGGAGGAGCAGGGATTCAATCTTCAGAGATGTTGTTCCTAGGTAGTATGATGAACCAATGTCTCCAAATGCATATCCAAGTATAAAACAACAGATCATGTTTTCACAATTCTGGTCTGCTCAAGTTAGAATTAACTCCAAAATAAAATTCCTCTTCCCATAGAGAAGCAGAGCAAGCACAAAGGAAAAATACTCTAGCAGTTTTAACATTGCATATCCTTAAGATTAAGCTTTTAATTCCAAGCTGTGTAATTTTAGTACATTCAAATTATAAAGGTTATCTCTTTATCTTATAGTTACCTAATTATACATTCTCCAACTAATAATTGTACATGGGCCACAAAGTTTAAAAGCAATCTTATTAGCCTACAAATCTCCATTTGTCCTCTTAGTCCTATAGTGCTGAGCATGTAAAAAAACCTTACAGATCTAAAAATAAAACTTGAATTTTAAAACATGCTTAAAATGACATCAATAGTCTTAAGAAATATAGGCTTAACCGGGGAATAGACAATATTTTAAAATTTACTATATGGATGTTATATATGCATACTTGCTTTATGTATATTATAAAGCATTTACAACCTGTTTGGAAAACCCTGTAAAATACACACCTCTAACAGCAAGTTTTAAAGCTAAATGAGCACAGTACTCCTTTAAAGTTTTTTTTTTTTTTTTTTTTTTTTTTTTTTTTTTTTTAGCAGTTCTATGAATGGATTTTTTTCTTGAGACGAAATCTCACTTTGTCACCAGGCCAGTGTGCAGTGGCGCAATCTTGGCTCACTGCAACTTCCACCTCCCAGGTTCAAGCGATTCTACTGCCTCAGGCTCCCAAGCAGTTGGGTGTGCCACCTGCCACTATGCCTGGCTAAATTTTTTGTATTTTAGTAAGACAGGGTTTCTCCATGTTGGCCAGGCTGGTCTCCAACTCCTGACCTCAACTGATCCATCCCACCATGGCCTCCCAAAATGTTGGGATTACAGGTGTGAGCCACTGTTCCGGGCCCGATTTCTTACTCTTAGTTACTTACCTTTAAAAAATCGTCTAAGATTACAAATGAACAATCCCAGAAGAGAGATACCTAACACAAAAATTAACGTACTAAATTGAACTATATAAGTATCAATACAAGCAATATGAGTAAGCCTTATTTCTTTCATGTTTTTAAAGCTTACAAAGGAAAGGGTGTAACTAATTTAATCAACTTCAAAACTTAATTCTTATTACAGAATTAAAGCTTTTAGACATTCAGAGGAACAAGGGATGATCTGAACTATTTTAGCTTAAAAAGTCCATGATCAGGGATATTAATTGCAGTCATAAAATGCTGAGGCCAAATATACAACAGCAGTCCTATCTACAATCACTTCCAAAAACACTGCATATATCCTCAAACAGTGAGACAAAGGAGAGCAGGCAGGTTTCAACTCTAGTTTTTATGTGGTTGCCTCTAACACAATATTGAGATTGAGGAACAATGTGGGGCTTGATGTCAAAGAAAACTCAGGATTATAAAAGCCTGCCATGAGCACAAGAATGTGCTACTCTTGGCTTCAGCATTAAGCTGACAAAGACTTCCTACTGCAGTACTTTGTTTGTGTTATGAACAGGGTACTTCACTTGTTTCTCATCATAAACACCTGATGTCAAATGTAACAAAATACACAAATCATGAGATTCTTTACTATGTCTGACAAAACAAACAAGAAACCAAATACCAGTTTTCTAGACGCACTATCTAATAAATGACTTCAGTTAAAATAACAAGAGTTACATTTTTTTGAAATGCTCTTATTCATCTGGAAAATTCAGTGTTATATGTAAATATTATATATATACATATATGCATGTATATATATGATATATACTGTTTTAGGAGAAAACATTAGCATTTCGGCTTAATATTTTAAATAATCCCAATTATGCATATTTATTTGTAAAGGTTCCCACAAGTGAAACATATTATAGTTACCTAGAAACATTCATTTTTCACTAAATATTTACAGTTTAAATTATGGAATGCTTGGCAACCAATTGTTATAGAAAAATCACATAAACAATATAAATCTGATGCCCAATCCTTTACACATACGAAATTCTTTCACTGGGTTTTCAAACTATCAAGTATAAATAGGACAAGGTCAGCAATACTTAGGATGAGGCACTTTAACAATTACTCAAAAAAGTTAAGTGTCCAAAATGTAAAGCAAAACCCTGCATATTAATCATATCCTTAATTTCAGATGTGATTAATCTGAGATGGTCTGTGTAAGGAGTGTTAAGACACAGACATCATCACAGGCCATTTAAAGTGCCCATATACAAATGAACTAAACTATCTAATGACACTTAGGTTTCAGAAAGGGACTATTTCAACACTAAAACTTCTGTAAAATTATTTTCATAAACATGTATGAATACACTGCTCTCACAAAGGCAAATAGTATCTACCACGTTCCTAGACAAGAATGCCCTCAAATGTATTAACTGAATCACAATTTTACAGTCTTATGCACTCTTTTAAAATACTGTTTTAAAAATACTCAGATATTTTAAAATTAAATCTACCAATACTTTTAGATTACAATTCTAAGATAAAAAAGAATAGGTATTTTACCAGCCTTTTGTGAAAGACGTTTTAAACATTTGTATTTGGCCACCTCATTTTCAACCTTAAATCATATTCTCTGTATATTTACACTGCACATTTTGGGAGTTCAGGTAATACTTGATTAAAAATAGTAATTCTTATTGATTTCATTTTTTGACAGAGTTTTGTTCTTGTTGCCCAGGCTGGAGGACAATGACACAATCTCGGTCCACTGCAACCTCTGCCTCCTGGGTTCAACGGATTCTCCTGCCTCAGCCTCCCAAATAGCTGGGATTATAGGCACCCACCACAGTGCCCAGCTAATTTTTGGAATTTTAGTAGAGATGATGTTTTGCTATGTTGGCCAGGCTGGTCTGGAACCCCTGACCTCAAGTGACTGATCTGCCTCGGCATCTCAAAGTGCTGGGATTACAGGCATGAGTTACCATGGCTGGTCAATTCCTATTGTTTTCTGAATTCATTGTGCTGTATTTTTCCCCAAACCATCTGATTTCCACATTCCTCTATTAGTAGGACAAAAAAGGCTAACTAAAAATTTTAAATTTACCTGAAAAGATTAAAATCTTGGTATATACCAAGAAAGAATTTGTGGACCCATTAGCTAAGTTTTAGGTAAGAGTAGTTAAATCTCATTAAACCTGTTTATTTTTTCTAATTTATAATTTGAGTAATTTCTACAGCTCAGATATCCAAATGTACAAGTTAGTACTCATTTGAACACGGTTAGCTGCTCCAAGACCACTTAGCAAAATCACTTGCTATGAATGTGTGCACATGTACTCCTTAATTCCCTAAAAGCTTCTGCTTTTCTAAAGAAACTGGCTTTCAATCAATACGCTACCAGACACTTAAAGTCTCTTCTAAAATTAGAAGCTGACCAATTTTCAAATACATAGAAAGAGAAAATACTGATTTAGAATGACAAAAATTAAGCTTGGCAAAAGTAGTGACTTTTATTTACAATTGTATGTGTCAAGATTACAATGGAAACACTAGTGATACCATCTGAACAAAAGCAATGATTTATTGGTAATGGCAATTAATGAAACATTGACAGTCTCTGGCGAGAATCAAGCAATTATCCAGGAGCTGTAGATCTGATTGTAATATGGTCGTCCAGTGTCTTCTGTACTTTAGTGGCTTTCTCCTTTTTTGCCAACTACCTAGAAAAACAAAAATAACTTTACATGTACATCCTATTGATTTTAAATATGGATTATTTAATAAAAAAAAAACACTAGTATAGGAATCAGTTTAAAACCTTGGCATTAATTTTTATCCTTGAATCTTTTCTGGCATGCAGTATATTTTCACTGTTGAAGCAAACTGTGACCTCCCCTGCCCTCCAGCCACAAGGAATTAAAAATAAAACGCATGCAGGCTATCTTTGATTTCACACAGTTTTTTTTTAAAGAAAGTATAGCAATTTTTAAAAACAAGATTGAAAGTTTAGAAAAGTTAATTTAAAGAACAATGCTATATGAGTAAAACATATTTGACATACTATTTTTAGATAATTAGAAATCAAATGTCTATCACAAAATAATCTGGAATTAGAAGGGTATGCTAAACTCATGTCTTCATGCCCAATATAGCAAATTTCTAGAATTTCCCCCTCAATACATAGACATGAAATGAAAATAGATTAAAAATGACTAATTTTTCCTGGTTTCTTTTTTAAGAAAAAACTCTGGTTACTCTAAGTGTATTATTAGAAATGAAATGAATAAACCTTATTTCTGTCAATGATTAGAAATATCCTCTACTGGAGGGTTTTATAAAACGTTCTGATTGCTATATATGTGGCAGCATAAAAATATGAAGAATAAAAATTTGTTTTCTACCAACAAATCTAGAAAACAAATTATCTGCAGGAGAGTTTGAAAACTATGCTGTAATTGAGAAATTTACCTAAAACTTAATGTTTATCATCAGATAATGTATTCTCAGAGCAAAAATGTCTCGAAAGAAACCTACTTGCAAAATACTGAATGTTTGTGTAGAAAGATTTGTTTACATTTATAAATTTAATTTTCATATTTCAAATTGATTTTATTCTAAATGGCAGTATCTATACCAGCAAAACTTAAAAAAGTCATCAGTACATGTATGGTCTAAAATATAACACAGCTGTGTCAACATCATTCATGAGAGATCTGAAAACTTTCCACTGAAATACCCAATCATACAATCCTAGAAATGTGTTTCCCACCCTAAGAAAAATCACTTCTAGTACTTTAAAGGAATTCCCCTTTGGTCCAAAGACACCATGTTAGAAAGCTCACAAGCCAGCAAGATGACAAAAAGGCATTTTCATGTAACAGAATGTGGGTAAGAGTAAGAAATTCAGGTTTTAAGAGCCACTAGAAGGGGAAGTGGCATTATCTGTATCACACGTAAATTTTGTGCCAATAAACACTGAGTATTACTAATCACTGTTTTACTTGGGAAACACAAAACACAAAGCTATTAGATTAAGCAAAAGAAAACAAAACAAATAATATTAAAAATTAAAGTTCTGGCAGATGTGATACAGAAGACACAAATCTGCATACTGTTTCACAGGTTGATAACTCTCAACTTGCCAATGTGTATTTTCTGTAAAAAAGAAGAAATTCAACATTCCAACATAGATTGTCATCCCAAACGCAAAGCTCTTTTTATTCATTCTTAAGTCTTTATATTACACCTCAGACAAACCAAAATCTAGGTACATAAAAATTATGTGTAAGAAAATATTTATTCAGTAGAATCCATTGATCTTCTATATTAATATATTAACCCAGCCTAATATTCAGTCCATAAGTCCTTCAACTGGTCTTGAGCTCACTTGGGTGATAAAAGCCGAGGACATGCCCCGATCAATCATCACAAGGATTATGGGGCTAACGTTCAAAGAGGAAAAGAAAACCAACACCCCTCAACTGAAATGTAATCACTATACTAAACTAGCACAAATATAAAAGAACTTGATGTAACTGCCATATTTGATTTCCAAAAGAATTCTATAGTTCCTAGAAAATAAAATTTAAAGTTTAGAATGGATTAAAACGTTATTCAACAACTAGTTAAATCTAAAACCATTCATAACAATTTAAGTCTACTGTGATATTACGTCTCAAAATGTAGTACAAAATTAAATATGAAATGGTAGAAAGTAAAAAAAAAATAAACAGGCTAGTGAGCAACATGGTATGGTAATAAAATTAAAGCACCTAGTTGCAAGCCCAAAACAAAAGCCAAACAAAATAAAAGGCCAACTGAGAAACATGACTCGGATGAGATCTGAAGAAAGAGATGGTTGAGGAAACCTAGGTAACAAGGCTGATCCAGATGATAGAAGCTGTAGAAATCTTGCACCAACAATGGCGAGAACATGGGAAGGGTGAGAGCAGAAAGGTGCTAGATGAGCAGAGAAGCAAGGAGGGGAGTAGAGTGAGACAAGGTCAATCTTTATATTACTTCATTAGGTCAATCTTTATATTACTTCATTTTAAAATATCTTCTGGTTTTAGTTCATTTGAGTTGGATTAAAAAAGCTGAAAAATAAACAGACAGAAATGTTACAAAAATAGCTGATACGGTGAATGGCCAGTTTAGCAAAGTCCATTTTTATAGTGATAAAAATCTTTTCACATGCACCTCGTTTCCTAAGAAGCAGAAGCCCCTACAATCATTTTCTTTTGTTTTTATAAAAATTTTAATTAAAAATTCTGTATTAAAATTAAGCAATTCATATAAACAGCATATTTTAGCAAAAACATCTACTTTCAATTAAGATGGCAATGGCAAGCTTTTCATGCGGCAACACAAAGAATCCATTTACAATAGCAAACAGTCAAAGTATAGATTAAAATCTGTGCATGATGCCTATTAAGAGCCAAAAATAGACAAGTGGAAGGAGTATTCTAGTCTTCAACCCTTAGAAATCTAACTTTTAATGTTGTAAAAGCATGTAAGGTCGTCTAAGATTTCTATCCACATTGGAAATACAACAGCACTAAGATTCTGTCATCTTAGTGATATAAGGGTCAGTGAAATAATGAAAACTGAAATTATCCAGAAACAGCTCACGCAAGATAAAAATATAAGCTAAAAATGCTCAACTTTATCATTCGATCTACTTTATCATTCACTAAGCCACTTTATATAGTGCCCTTCACTAAACAGCGGTCATCAAAATTCTCCTCCGGGTGCCCATTAAGTACAAGCCAAATCTATTTTGAAATTTTCAATTATGATTACTATGTATATACTTTCTCATAATTCAGACTGACCAAACGAGCGAAAGAAAAGAAATGCCATACGTGACTTGTCCTCTAATGCATCTTCCACCTTCCTAAGTTCATGTCCAGATCCCTACTTTTCCATTCTATCAAGGGTACCCGTCGCCACCTGCTATACTGTCCAAACTCTACTCTCAAAACTTAGTGCAAGTCCCTCTTTCTTTTCAAAGTATTCTCAGACTTTCTCATTGTTGGGGGAAAAGGAAAAGTCACTTAGCTGGTAAAGTCTGAGAATACTTTGAGGACAAAGAGACCCTTGAACTAAGCTTTGATTAATTTTGATTAATTTTCCCTATGTTTGTCCATTATCCTACAAGAATATAAATTTGCTGTATACAGAAACTTGCTGTAGACTGTACAGTAGTCCCTCCTTATCCATGCTTTCACTTTTTGCAGTTTCAACTGCCTATGGTGCAATACAATAAGATATTTTGAGACAGTGAGAGAAAGAGCAAACGTGGGAGAGACCATATCCACGTTAACTTTTACCACAATATACTGTTATAATTGCTCTATTTTATTTTTAGTTGTTGTTGTTAATCTCCTTTTTTTTTTTGATATGGGGTCTCACTGTCACTCAGGCTGCAGTATAGTGGCTTGATCCTATCTCATTGTAGACTTGAACCCCTGGGTTCAAGTGATCCTTCCACCTCAGCCTCTCAGGTAGCTGGAACTACAGGTGCAGCCACTGCCTTGCCTGGGTAATTTTTTTTTTTTTTTTTTTTTTGATATTTTTACAGCGATGGAGTCTTACTATATTTACTAGGCTGGTCTTGAATTCCTGGGCTTAAGTGATCTTCCTGCCTTAGCCTCCTGAAGTGGTGGGATTACAGGCGTGAGCCACCATGCTCTGGCCTTGTTATTAATCTCTTCTGTGCCTAATTTTACATTAAACATTATCAGAGGTAAACATGAAGAGATGCTCCTTGACTTCCGATGGGGTAATATATCCTGATTAAACCCATTGTAAAGGCTGGGAGTGGTGGCTTATGTCTGTAATTCCAGCACTTTGGGAAGCCGAGGCAGGCGGATCACCTGAGGTCAGGAGTTAGAGACCAGGCTGGCCAACATGGTGAAACCCCATCTCTATTAAAAATACAAAAATTAGCTGGCCATGGTGGCAGGCACCTGTAATCCCAGCTACTCAGGAGGCTGAGGCAGAATAATCACTTGAACCTGGGAGGCAGAGATCACACCATTGCACTACAGCCTGGGCGGCAAGAGTGAAACTCAGTCTTAAAAAAAAAAAAATAAGTAAACCCACTGTAAGCTGAAAATACTTTAAGTCAAAAATGCGTAACTGACCCACACTTAAGAGAATGGTTTCTACTGAATGCATATCAATTTTGCACCACTGTACACTTGAACCATCATAAGTTGGAAACCTCTGTATAGGAAAAAACATAGTGTGTATACGGTTTGTTACTGTCCATAGTTCCAAGTATCCACTGGGTGGGGGGGGTCTAAGAACATATTCCCCCACCACAGATACAGAGAGATCATTTTACTAGTACTATAGGGACAAAACATACCATACCACACATCTAATACTTCCTTCAACAAGAACCAAACTCAATTATAATTTGTAATAAGCAACTCTTATCTGTACAAAGACTAATCTGGCCAATTTGAATTACACATAAACCCTCCATATCTTTTACTGCATTTAAGTTGTTGCTTTGTACAATATAAAAACAATGAAATACTAGCTTACTTTTAAAGAATAACCCTAAAAGACAGTGAGTGACTGCAGTACAAATGCCATTCAGAAATATTAGAAGGAACTGTAATATACATAAGAAAATAACTTCATCAATTAAATTTATTAAACATTAAAAGCACGGGGCTAAGAAAGCCAGGATACCAATAAGGGAGTCAATTATGGTATTCAAATGATTCTTGTAGCAATTCTCAAAGTGTGGTCTCCAAGACCCTCTCAAGGGGTCTGGGAGGTCAACACTATTTTCATAATGCTAAATTGTTTTTTGCCTTTTAAACTCTCATTCGTTTCACAAGTATCTAGGGAAGTTTTTCAGAGGCTATATGATGTGTGACAGGAAAGCTGACTGAATGCAGAAGCAGATATGAGAAGGAAAGGACTCTATTAGGCTTGTAAACAGACAAGCCTGGGCAACACAGTGAGATCCTGTCACCACATAAAAATAAAGATAAAACAGCCAAGTTTGGTGGCACATGCCTGTAGTCCCAGCTACTGAGGAGGCTGAGGTGGGAGGATCAGTTGAGCCCAGGAGTTTGAGGTTGAAGTGAGCCATAACTGGGCCTCTGCACTCCAGCACAGGTGACAGAACAAGAGCCTGTCTCAAAAAAAAAAAAAAAAAAAAAAAAAATTCTAAATCAATGCTCTTATTCTTACTAAATTGGTTTTTCTTTTAGAAAATATGCTTATTTTTTGGCCGGGCGCAATGGCTCATGCCAGTAATCCCAGAACTTTGGGAGGCCAAGGCGGGCGAATCATCTGAGGTCAGCAGTTTGAAACCAGCCTGGCCAACATGGTGAAACCCCGTTTCTACTAAAAATACAAAAATTAGTTGGGCATGGTTGCAGGTGCCTATAGTCCCAACTACTCAGGAGGCTGAGGCAGGAGAATCACTTGAACCTGGGAGGCGGAGGCCACAGTGAGCCGAGACCATGCCACTGCACTCCAGCCTGGTGACAGAATGAGACTCCATCTCAAAAAAAAAAAAAAAAAAAAAAAAAAAAAAAAAAGAAAAGAAAATATGCTTATTTTTAATTTAAAAATATTTATGTTAATATGTGTTCATTATATACAAATAAATATTTTTTAAATTTACCAGTTTTAACTTCTAAATGACAAATATTAGATAAATACAGCCCACATAAACAAAAGTTCTTTTTGGCCTTCAATAGTATTTAATAATATAAAGAGGTCCTGAAACCAAAAATCTTGAGAACTGCTACTGAATAGTTATTTAAAGTTAAAAAAAATTAAATGAATAAATGGCTGTTATAAAACAAGTACATTAAATGAATAAATGGCTGTTATAAAACAAGCACAAATACTCTCAAGCAAGAAAGGTCCAACACCTTTGCTATTCCAAAGACAGCCCCCAAAAACGTAGTCTGGCAGTTAAAAAAGAGAAAATAAAAGGCTAGAAGGGATGGGAGGGGAATGTTAAAAACGAGGTGGAGACAGATAGTTAGATGGACAATTATTCATGCAAATTAGAGAAACTTTAGCTGAATGGCTAGCTGGTATGAAGATGAACAAGATAGAATGGTGGTTATTTATGGAAAAATGAGAATCAAATAGCATAAACCAAGGTGAGAAACGGGAAAGCAGAACCAAATTTATGATATGAGAAAATAATAAGATTTATAATAACAGATGTTATAAAAAATTAAACTCAGAACAAACTACACAAGGCACAATTAAAGCCAAGTCCAATGGCATCTAATTCAAAAAGGCAAAGCAGGCAGCCAAGAAATCTTTGTTGCTCACACATTTTCCCAATAAAACGTATTTCATATTGTAAAAATGTAGATGTTTAATCTCTGCTTCTTCTGACCTGTCATTAAACATATGTGAAACATCTAGACATAACAGCTCTAAGTAGATAATTATTCCTGCAGTCCCCAAAAGTTAATCATGCTGTGAGACAGGAAAATAGTCGCTGGAAAAAGACCAGTTAAAATACCTACTGTCCAGGTTTTCAACTGGCAAAAAGAGCATACAATTTTCTAAGATCATCCCTCGTTATGCAACTTCATACAATTTTCTATAATTGAATTAAGTCAGATCTGTAGATATCACCAAAAAGAGTAAGAGTGCTTAGGATGTTCTCCATCTTCAATTCCACAACAGGGGTCCATTGGGAGCCTCTTCATCTAGGAATTGCCAGGCCTAGGGAAACTTCCACAAGTTCTAGACTGCCTGCCAGACAGTCATTAGAGACAGTGGGATACCTATGTATTCTGTGCTGCCACATTTAAACTGAATATATAGCAACTGAGGCTCTGTACTGATAAAGCTCTAAGTAGCACTTTGATGATCTGTTGTTGTGTAATTCAAAGTAACTCTAGGGAACTGTTACCAATTAGAAGCTGTTCCAGCAATGTTTAAAAGGAATTAGTCTGGATTAACAAAGGTTCCACGTACCCTATAAATTCTTCACAAAGAATGGTAAAGTTTCTTTACAATTCTTATAATTCTGTCTTTTCTAAAAAAAATTATATGCATACACATAAAGATACATAAAAATACTTGAGAAAACTTGCCTATTTACAATTATTTGATGAAATGTGCTATTTCAGCATACAAACATGGTTTGGAAAGTTAATATGTCAGCATATTAAAACTCAGTTCATTCTTTTTCAAATAAAATTATCCAAGTAATTTAAAATTTCATCAGACTAAAAAAAAAAAAGACAAAAAAGTTTCATCAGAAATAATAATCAGAATCTTACTATCAACAAAAAGTTCCTTAATTCTCACCACTGCTTTCAAATGATTTAACTTACTTTCATTTTTCCATTATTACTAACCAGTTTCTATAACCAAATTATTATTTTTACCCTTATGTTTATGTCATTCATTAAAAGACCCTATCAGTTAAGACATCGTTTTTATTAAAGATTCCTTTTAGTTGGATATCCAAAAATATAATTAGGAGAACTTTCTATCCTAGCTTAGCTTTGTAAAATTTCATGACATGATTTTGAATCACTTGGTTAAAAGAAAGTGTGTAGGTTGAGATACATGAAATTATTCTATTAAAATTATACTTTACTAACCCTAAGTATAATTTAAGCAAACTTACTCGTTTGAAGTCATTCATGTTTGTTGCCTGGACTGGAGTACCAATAAAAGTAAAATATGAAATTCTTGTTGTTTCCTCTTCACCTTGATTGGACTGAACAAATATCTACCAAAAAAAAAGTTTACATTTATATTTATAATCCTTCTTCACAAACATGCTTTAAGTTTAATCAATTTCCTTAAATTACTAATAAAAATATTCTCTATTTTTTGTAAAAATTAATCTAGGCTGGATGCAGTAGCTCATGCCTGTAATCCCAGAACTTCGAGAGGCTTTAGCAGGCAGATCACATGAGGTCAGGAGTTCGAGACCAGCCTATCTAACATGGCAAAACCCCACCTCTACTTAAAATATAAAAAACTAACCAGGCATGGTGGCAGCACCTATAAGCCCACCTACTTGGGAGGCTGAGGCAGGAGAATCGCTTGAATCTGGGAGGCGGAGGTTGCAGTGAGCCGAGATAATGCCACTGCACTCCAGCCTGGGAAACAAGAGCAAAACTCAAACTTAACCAAAAAAAAAAAACCTAAATCATGTAACATTAAGACTAGTACTCCTATAGGACTATTCATTATACTAATTGTCCTGCTATTCTCACCTTCTCTAGAGGTCATGGCAAGACACCCATATATACAAGTTCATGATAATTTAGTGCGATGGTATGGCAGAGTCATAATTCAATTCTTTTTTGTCTCACTCTGTTACACAGGCTGGAGTGCAGTGGCACAAATCTCAATTCACTGCAAGCTCTGCCTCCCAGGTTCAAGCAATTCTCTTGCCTCAGCTTCCCCAGTAGTTGGGATGACAGGCGTCCACCACCATGTCCAGCTAATTTTTGTGTTTTATAGTAGAGACAGGGTTTCGCCATGTTGGCCAGGCTGGTTTCGAACTCCTGACCTCAAGGGATCTACCCGCCTCTGCCTTCCAAAGTGCTGGGATTACAGGCATGAGACACACACCCAGCAATTAAATACAGAAAATGCTGAAAGAGTATTAAGATTTACAATTACAATGGGACAGACTATCATTGGAAATTTTATTAAAATCATAGTTTTTCACAGAGAAAAATCTCTGAGTTATATTCTTTCTAATATTCCTGTGTTCATTCTCATACCTAGAATATTTAAAAAAAAAAAAAAGTATTGGGAATCAGCTCCTAAAACAATATTATGCACCTCATATTTTTTTAAGCTCAATTCTTTATACTTTTTTATTTAAAAACTCCCCTCAGCATGTTAAAAGCTAAAAGCTTTACTCATTGATCCTTTTTCATATATTGGATTTTTAAAATTTGCTCCATTTCTGAGAACACAATATTCTAGGTGCTGTCTACTTTAAAATATTGCACCTATCTCTTTTTTGAGACAAGGTCTCATTATGTTCCCTAGACTGGTCTTGAACTCTTTAGTGCAAGTGAAGCTCTTGCCTCAGCCTCCCAGGTAACTGGGACTACAGGTGCACTACCATGCCCAGCTAAAAATTGCTTCTTGATTTAAACAACATACTTCTTTTCATTCTGAGATGGCACTCATTGGTCAGTTTTTGTTGTTTTCATAGGCAACCATAAATTCTTTCAAGAAAATATCTGATAACCAGTGTTCTAAGTTTAATATAACCATTTTCTCTGATTTCATTTGTGTAGGATATTACTAATACTTAAAACTCAACTTGATTAAAATTCTTTTTTTTTTTTTTTTTTTTGTCATCCAGGCTGGAGTATAATGACACAATTACAGCTCACTGAAGCCTCAATCTCCCAGGCTCAACTGAACCTCCACAGTAGCTGGGACTACGGGCACACCACCAAGCCCAGCTAGTTTCTGTATTTTTTTGTAGATGCGGTTTCACCTGTTGCCTAGGCTAGTCTCAAAATTGTGGGCTCAAGCAATCTGCCCCCTTGGCTTCCCAAAATGCTGGGATTACAGGTGTGAGCCACCATACCCAGACAATTATAATTCTTGATATTACTACATAGATTCTGTGAAACTCTCAAAAATATTCTAAAATGAACACATATTTTAGCATTCTTCTTATTTGCAAAAATAAAATTATTTCATCACAACAAACAAATTGTATCAGTTTGGCATGACTTTCTCAGTGGCTCTGCGCTGGTTCCTACTTTCTTTTTCTAAGTATTCTGCTATTCTTTTCTAACTGTCTTACCCATTCCTCTAAATGACTGTAGGTGAGAAGAATGTGCTGGGTTTCAATGCTAAATTTTTTAAAAGCAAATAATAACCACTAAAAAGTAGCTGATTCTTATGAGTGGCATTTTTATAATAATATCTAAACTATATCACTTAAAACCATCTCAAGCACTAGCAGTCAATCTTCAGAAAGGCTGGGTGTAGTGGCTGAAGCCTATAAACCCAGCACTTTGGGAGGCTGAGGCAGGAGGACTGCTTGAGCCCAGAAGTTTGAGACCAACCTGGGCCACACAGGGAGACTTCATCTCTACAAAACTAAAAAATTAGGTGGGTGTGATGGCACGTGCCTGTGGTTGCAGCTGCTCGGGAGGCGGAGGGAGGATCACCTGAGCCCTGTAGGTGAGGGCTATACTGAATCAAGATTGTGCCACTGTACTCCAGGCTGGGCAAGAAAGCAAGAACCAAGAACCTGCCTCGAAGGAAAAAAAAATTCAGATACCTTACATCATCTTATAAAATGTAATATTATCTTTTTAAAAGGTCATTTTTAAGCCAGGTGCAGTGGTGCATGCCTGTAATCCTAGCAACTCAGGAGGCTGAGGTGGGAGGATTATTTGAGTCCCAGAGTTCAAGTCACCCTGGGCAACAAAGTGAGGCTCCATCTCAAAAATAAATAAATAAAAAGTCATTTTCACTAAGATAATGACCACCACAGTTTAAAACTCCATATTCAAGAAGCAAATAGGATTTTATAAACATATCACTACTTTTTACCAGGTATAAAGAATAAAGCACAAATATCTTCAGTTAGTATAACGTTGTAGAATAAACTTCTAGCAAAAGCACTAGTCAATCTTCAGAAAGGCTGGGTGTAGTGGCTAAAGCATATAAACCCAGTACTTCTATGTGTATGTTTAATATACATATAAAACAACTAACAAAAACCCACAAAAATTCAAAAATCAATTCGTTCTTCCTCTTTAGGGTACATAAATTAAAAAGAAGAAAATTTAACTATCCCATTGTACATTTTTACTCATTTCAAACTGAGTGGACAAATACCACTTTAAAGAATCACTTAGACTCACCTAGGATACTGAAAATAGTATTGTTACTCACAAACCTATTAAATACACATGAATGAAATACTGCTTACAGTTACACTGTTAACATTCTGAAACTTAACATAACGAAGTGGAACAATGCCATCTTCTTTAATATCATCCTCTGTCAGTTCCAGAGCTTGAGTTGGTTCACTTCTTTCTGCCTCTTCAAAATCCATAGATCGGGGTAAGTTGATAAAAATTTTTACATATTTAGGACCCTGACCTATAAAATAGTAGAATAAAATGAAATGTTTAAAAACGTCCAACATACTATACTCCCTTTATCACTACACACATACTAGACACAAAGGCACACACAAATCAATATACATATACTTCAAAGAAATCTATTATTAGAACTTGTATAAAAGTCTGAGTATCTAGGTAGCCAATCCTTTATTTTCCAATACACATTTACTGGTACCTTCTTGGCCGAGCTAACATGATGCTAAATGTTAGGAATGTAAAACACTCCCCCCGCCACATACACACCACACACACGGCAAATCCCTGCCTCCATCTACAAAAGACATGCTATGAGAAAATACCACAGGAGAGGAGGTTCAAGGAAGGTGACAATGGATTCTGACTACATCTGCAAGTTAACAGAAAGCTTCATAAAAGAAATAGCACTTGAGCTAGATCTTATAGTTGCCAATAGTTGGTACATTTAGTTATTTAGGAGGAAAGTGTTATCAGTGACAACATTTAGCACCCCCCCCCAAAAAAAATCAGTAATACAAATTGCTAAATTTCATTAGGGATTACATTAGGATGTGCTAAGTGGTAAAGCCCCATATATAGAATGTCTTAATCCCTTTAACTTCAAGGCACAATTTTTTTTTTTTTTTTTTTTGGATATTCAGTCTTGCTCCTGTTGCCCAGGCTGGAGTATAATGGCGTGATCTTGGTTCACTGCAACCTCTGCCTCCCAGGTTCAAGCGATTATCCTGCCCTACCTAGCCTCCAGAGTAGCTGGGATTATAGGCATGCACCATCACACTCCACTAATTTTTTGTATTTTTAGTAGAGACAGGGTTTTGCCATATTGGTCAGGCTGGTCTCAAATTCCTGACCTCCAGTGACTGACCCGCCTTGGCCTCCCAAAGTGCTGCGATTACAGGAATAAGTCAGCACACCCAGCCTCAAAGCACAATTTAAGAACCATATTTTGTGGTTGATGAAGCAAAAGTAAAACTCATTTCCTCAGCATTTGCTTATACAAAGACTTTGTAATTTCAGAGTGAAAGTCAAATGATTAACATAAAAATTTAGCGTAACAAATAAGAAAATGCTATCTTCTAAATAGGGCCTTGGCTATTTCTTCCAATCAATTAAAAAAATACACCCAAAAACAAAACAAAACAAAAAACAGAACCCTAGTCTCCATTCCCCTATTCCCCCTCAGAAAAAGCTTAACAGAAACAGAAAAAATGGGGGGAGTAAATAAGGAAAATTCCTTATTTTTGAAGAAGAGAAATTCTAAGTCTCTTCTTAGAATTAAGAAGAGATTAAAAATAAATAATCATATTTACATGCATTGAAATAAAAAAGATACTATTAATAGGGCACAAACAGGAATATCTGGAGCCTCTGTTTTCTCACTTAAAATAAAAGGGGTTTGAAATAAATTTTTCCCAGTTTTGATTCCAAAATATGGCTGCTCAGAACCTGTAGTTTTAGAACAGTTGGAAAAAAGGATTCAGCACTTCTCAGATTAAAAGGAAACAAATTTTAAAATAAAAAAGCATAAAAATAAGTTTCCTTTTTTTCATACTTTCAGTACCTAACAATCTCACATTATTTACCCATTCATTTATATTTTGCTTTGTTCCAAAACAACCTGGGCACGGTGCTCACTCCTGTAATCTTAGCACTTTGGAAGGCCGAGGTGAGTGGACCACTTGAAGTCAGGCGTTCGAGAACAGCCTGGCCAACAGATGGTAAAATCCTATACTAAATGTACAAAAATTAGCCAAGCGTGGCAGTGCATGTCTGTAGTCCCAGCTACTCGGGAGGCTGAGGTGGGAGAATCACTTGAACCCAGGAGGCAGAGATTACAGCGAGCTAAGATTGCACCACTATACTCCAGCCTGGGTGACAGAGCAAGACTCTGTCTCAAAACAACAACAACAACAACAACAACAACAACAACAACAAACTACCTCTACCTTTATTTAATAAAAAGTTTAATTTTATGCTCACAGTTCTACAAAGCAGGAAGTTAGTTTAAAGAAAAATTATGCTTTACTCACCATTATCTGGTCCTTGAAATTTCATGGAATAAAGCTTAACAGGTTGATTGAATGCCACAGTAATAAGCAGCTGTGGAGAAAAGAGTTTCATTTTAAAAGGGCTCTTGAACACACTGAGTATACAAACGACTGAAGTAGAATTAACAGGCCAAAAAAAAAACCAAAACAAAACGAATTCATCGAACAAAACCAATGTAATACGAAAAATCAGCAAGTTGAAAGTCACTTGATTAGAGAACATTTGAGAAGCACCACCATCAATTATTTATATAAGGGAATACAAAAAATTAATCAAGTAAATACTAAACTATGCATAGAAATCTAAGGTCTTGTGAGCCATAAACTGGCAAGCAGCCTGCTTTCTAACAAATAAAAAATCACAAATTAAAATAAAATGTAAACTATACATTTTAGCATACAGCTCTAGGATGGTCTGCTAAGTATCTACCCACATTACTTGACAATTTAGAGGCAACATAGGTTATGCAGCGACTAGCCCTGAAATGGACCCTGTTCCCAAACTCAAGAGAATAGGCTCTGAAGTAACCCCCAAACTTCCATCCTACATTTACTTGACTGACTGAATCTGGAAGGCCACATAAGGGAACAGGAATACGAAACACTATCAGAATGCTTATCTCTCAGATACTCTTCTGGATCATTTGCTCCATCTTCTTTCCAGCCAAAAGTGTGTTTGGTATAAATACCTATGCTTCTTCCCTGGAAACAAGATTTCCTGGGCAGAAAAATTTCAAGAAGCCTGAGCCAGTCCTGCTGATAAGCATTATCACATTATTTTTAGGGCATAAGGAACACAATGTGAATGATACCCTCAAAGCTGTAAAGTAAGGTGGCTCTGGGGTAAAAGCATAGAAAGATGGGGTTTGGATTTCTGATTTCAGAATCATATTGTGGTTTATCTGCCTAAGAAAATTACAAGGCTATTTCCTTTAGTAACACCAATACTTATTACAGTTGACCCATAATAGTGTATTAAAAAATAAGCATGGCATATTTAGGAAACTGAACTGTAGGTGAAGAGCAGAAGAGACTAGAAAGCTAAAAACAGATCAAGCCAGCCTCTTCCTAAAGCCAGTGAAGAGTCATTTCACTCTTCTAAGGAAGAAGAAGATGCAGATTTACACTTTAGAAAAATAACTTTTGTTACCATATAGAAGATGAACTGGAATGGGACAAACCAGACACAATGGAAGAGAAAGTAAATTGAGGAAAATAACAGCTACAACAAATATTTTAAAAGCTTGATTAAGGTGGTAACACACCACTTACTCTGTGATAAGGGCAAGGCAGGGAAACAAAGAATACAACAGAGGTTTATATCTAGGAGAAAGGAGTTAATCACACAGGAAGTACACATCCCATTAGTCTCTATTTCTTAGACATGAATTCATCTGGGTGGGAAGAAAGTATGGAAGACAGGTCAAAGATGAACAAAAGGACCGCTCACTTCTGCAGGGGGTCCCATCCAAGAGTTCAGTGATTTTCCTTAGTGCACCTGGCAGCCCACATACAAGAACAGAGAAAGGAGGTAGGTCAGTGTGGTCAAAAGACAGAAGTAAAAGAAACTAAAAGCTATAGAAATGAAAGGCAGAAGGGATCATCTGGGAAGTAGACATAAATCACAAGATGGGAAAAAGATAAAGAAACAAGAGCAGGCATGAATACTGATAATCTCCACAAGCCTTAACTTCAGTCCTCAATTACCTGTTCATCACAGTCAGATTCCAAGAAGGTCGTGTCTTTTCGTAAACAGTTGTCAAATCCATGCTCATCACTTTCATTAAGACATTCACAACCAGCTTTGTTAATAAAAGGCATTAAATCCATCTGAAAAAAATTAAACCAAGATTTTAATAAAAAATCCGAATTGTAGGCAATTTTAAGAAAACTCTTTTAAAACAGTTCATAAAACAATTTTAGGATAGTCCTTTCATTTGCATTTCTGAGATCTACCATCAATTATTAAAGCCAAATCTAGGCTTAGCCACTTGTTAAGGTATCAGAAATTATGTCCTTAACACTAAGATTATAAAATGTTGACTTACACTTTAAAAAATAAGTGTTTTACAGTAGAAAGTATACAAATTAAAGTATCTGTAAGATCCAAAGAAAGCCTGTTTTCCTCTTCTAGTGGCCAAAGGCTCTTTTTACCTTTGAAGATGTCCAATTTAAGGAGTAACAAATAAGGACTTAAAAAGTTTTTAACAAGAACAATTTCAAACAAAAATGTAATAATATAGTGAATCCCATGTATCCACCACTTCCAGCTACAATAATCATCAACTCATGGCCACTCTTACCTCATCTTTAACCCCCAACTACATCCTAACTCTCCTCCTGATTATTTTGAAAAATGTTATAAACATCTTTTGATTTCATTCATGAACATTTCAGTGTGAATTTCTAAGCAATAAGAGCTGTAAAAAAAATAAAAATAAAATAAAATAAAAAAACCATCCTCAATAGCATTATCACGATCAATACTACTTAACATCAAATCAGTGGTCTAATTTCCTTAAGTGTCTATAAATATTTTACAGTTGAATTGTTAAGACTCAGAATAAAGATCAAAAAAAAGTATATGCCAGTAATAGAGATAAAAAGTAAAAGCCTTGGCACGGTGGCTCATGCCTGTAATCTCAGCCCTTTAGGACGCTGAGGTGGGTGAATAGCTTGGGCCTAGGAGTCTGAGAGCAGCCTGGGCAACATAGTGAGACTGTCCTGAAAAAAAAGTAAACAAAAAAATTAGCTGGATGCAGTGGCGTGTGCCTTTAGTCCTAGCTAACTGGGAGGCTGAGCTGGGAGGATGGCTTAAGATCAGGAAATCAAGGCAGCAGTGAGCGGAAATTGTGCCACTGTACTCCAGCCTGGGCAACAGAGCGAGACCCTGCCTCAAAAAAAAAAAAAAAAAAAAAAAGTATAAACATTGTATTTGGAGGCTGGACGTGGTGGCTCATGCTTGTAATCCCAGCACTTTGGGAGGCTGAGAAGGGCAGATCACCTGAGTTCAGGAGTTTGAGACCAGCCAGGCCAACATGGTGAAACCCTGTCTCTACTAAAAATACAGAATTAGCTGGGCATGGTGGTAGGCGCCTGTATTTCCAGTTACTCAGGAGGCCGAGGCAAAAGAATCGCTTGAACTCGGGATGCAGAGGTTGCAGTGAGCCAAGATCATGCCACTGCACTCCAGTCTGGGCAACAGAGTGAGACTCTATCTCAAAAACAAACAAAAAAAACTTAAAAAATGTAAAAAACAGTTTTCTCTGCCAATAGTGCTCATGCAAACACGGTGAACGTTCCTAAAACTTGCTGGACTTTTTGTAAGAAGTGTGGTGCTGGGCGCGGTGGCTCATGCCTATAATCCCAGCACTTTGGGAGGCCGAGGCGGGTGGATCATGAAGTTAAGAGATCGAGATCATCCTGTCAACACGGTAAAACCCCGTCTCTACTAAAAATACAAAAATTAGCTGGGCACGGTGGCATGCACCTGTAGTCCCAGCTACTTGGGAGGCTGAGGCAGGAGAATTGCTTGAACCCAGGAGGCGGAGGAGGTTGCAGTGAGCGGAGATTGTGCCATTGCACTTCAGCCTGGATAACGAGAGTGAAACTCCAACTCAAAAAAAAAAAAGAAGAAGTGGCCGGGCGCAGTGGCTCAAGCTTGTAATCCCAGCACTTTGGGAGGCCGAGGCGGGTGGATCACGAGGTCGAGAGATCGAGACCATCCTGGTCAACATGGTGAAACCCCGTCTCTACTAAAAATACAAAAAATTAGCTGGGCATGGTGGCACGTGCCTGTAATCCCAGCTACTCGGGAGGCTGAGGCAGGAGAATTGCCTGAACCCAGGAGGCGGAGGTTGCGGTGAACCGAGATCACGCCATTGCACTCCAGCCTGGGTAACAAGAGTGAAACTCCGTCTCAAAAAAAAAAAAAAAAGAAGTGTGGCAAGCACCAACCCCACAAAAGTGACACAGTATGAGAAGGGCAAGGATTCTCTTAAAGCCTAGGGAAAGCACTTTTATGACAGGAAGTAGAGTGGCTATGGTGGGCAGCCTAAGCCAATTTTCCAGGAAAAGGCTAAAACTACAAAGAAGATTGTGTTAAGGCTTGAGTGCACTGAGCCCAACTGCAGATCTAAGAGAATGCTGGTTATTAAAAGATGCAAGCATTTTGAACTGGGAGTAGATAAGAAGAGAAAGGGCCACGTGGTCCAGTTCTAAGTGTCATATTTTCTTTTATTATAAAAACAAAATCTTGAGTTTATGTTCACTTCATGTCTTTGCAGTTCATCTTTTGGGAGGGAATAAGCTAGAGCCATCAATAAAATTCCACTTGTGGAGATATTTTAAAAAACAAATAAAAAATAAAGCCACACTATACATAATCTACTCTTAGCAAATATGGAGGAAGAATAAATATAAATGGTTTTAAATTGTTCCCAACTTCAACTAACACTTTTAGAAAGTTAAAGTCATTATTCACAGAAAGGTAATTATAATTAACAATAACTTGTGTATTTCAAAACAGCTAGAAGATTTGGAATAACACATTGCATGTAAGTATAGAAATATTACATGTACCCCATAAATATGCATAACTATTATGTATCAATTTTTAAGTCACTATGTTCACAAAAAACAGTGTTCTGAATTAGAATTATGAGTCTTCACCTTTTCAGCATCACAACTACATCTTTCACAATATCTTAACCCCCTAAAATAGATACATATATTTCTCTTTTTAAATTAAAGTGAATTAAAATTATTCAATCTTAAGATTTTTTAAAAAAACTTCTCATACCCTAGTACTCTGGCCTCAGCTAAATAGTTTCAAAACAATAGGATGTATAAAATTAACAACTTGTATAGCCTCTGAGTGCTAAAACATAATCACCAAAACTAATTCCAAGAAACTCCCAGTTTTATAAAAAATTGTTACTGCATTTTTGCAATGCATTTATTTATTTATTTATTTATTTAATTTATTTATTTAGAGACAGAGTCTCACTCTGTCACCCAGGCTAAGGGTGTAGTGGTGTGATCTTGGCACACTGCAACCTTTGCCTCCCAGGTTCAACCAATTCTCTTGCCTCAGCCTCCTGAGTAGCTGGGATTACAGGTGGCCGCCATCACACCCAGCTAATTTTTGTATTTTCGTAGAGATAGGGTTTCACCGTGTTAGCCAGACTGGTCTCAAATCCTGACCTCAGATGATCGACCTGCCTTGGCCTCCCAAAGTTCTGGGTTTACAGGAATGAGCCACCACACCTGGCCTGCAATGCTTATATTTAAGTCTACTTAGTTCGAGAAAGGTTTTCATCCAGTGACTCTTATTTCCAGTAAGTTTCTACTTGTGTTCTAAGAACAATAATAGTCTTGGGAACCGAGTACCAGTTTTAAATACTGAATAACCCTATAAGACCTAAATAGTTCAAAACTGTAATGTCTTGATTGACACCTGATAGTAAAAAAAGAGAAATTTTTAAAAAACAGCTTTTCATATTTTATCCATAACATTTACCCAAAAACTAAATTTTTATTTCTTAAAATTTCATTTTTTCATGCCTATTTCCTATGTGAGGCCAAAACACTCCTACCATAGCTGATGTGTAAAGAAGTATGCCTATAACTAAGCAACAAGACTACTGTGCTCATAAGACTTTTTAATGCAAACACCCTTAGTAACAAAGGGAAAAAATAAAAAGATATAAACACAATGGTTTACAAGTTAAATGATTTCTGAAACTGTCCAAAAGATGTTACAACCATGATATAAACAATATGTTGATACTTTCTAATTGGACATTACAACTTCAACTTACAGGCCTATTTTAAATAACAGTAATTGTACTTCCCTAAATTAAGGCTGGTATCACGTTACCGATGTTTTCTGACACTCTCCCAATCTCCTACTGCACACACATACACAGAATCTCTCAAATTTATTAGACTATAGCTTCTCTTCATTTGGCATGAATTTAGACATACAGAGAGGACTTGTAGCTCCATGACACAAATCTGCTTTAATATGCCTGATAGGTACCTTGTTTAGGATATTAGCTTTAACTTAAGGTAACTTTTAAAAAAATTCATTCTTTGATCTACCAGTGCAGTAACTTTATAACCAGAGAAATTAAGAACTACATTATTATGCAGGATTTACCTACAGTGTATGTATAAACAAATCTAATACCATGAAGTGCTGCTTCCGAATTTTGCTTCTTTCTTGAATAACTCTCAAATTAAAAATGCTGCATTATAACTACTCATACTCTGAAGTTTTCAAACACTATCCTTTAGATTCTTAAGTCTTTATGTTGCTATTTAGAATACTTACTCTTAAAACCTAGAATACTACATGTGATACTAAAGTCACATTTAATTCTAAAACAAAATCAGTAACTAGACTTTTTTTTAAACATAGAGTGCCAGAAAAGAGGGCATACATTTAAAAAGATAAAACTATAGGAAATGAGTGGCAGCAAAGGGAGTTCAATATACAATGTCATAATTAAAACTTGTAAGTCATTTTACACAATTTTCAAAAAGTGAAAAAATATTTCCTATGCACGTCGTCTTCACTTTTTGCAAAAAAAAAAAGTATAAAGCAAGTATTTTTAAATGGTTATTAAAACAGCTCAGAAAGCAGATAAAAAAATAAGTGGCAAAGAAAATCGGAGAAATTTAGGAAAAATAGCTTATGATGGGGGCTTAACACACACAAAGACATACACATACAGACAAAACCCAATAGTCAGCTAATAAATTTAATTTGAAACCTCTTATTTAAAAGTATTATAAACCGTTAAGAGAACATAAAAACAGTTATATACTTCATTTTAACCAAATAATGACATGTATAAGATACATTATGATTTCACTTTTCAGTTTACATACATAGCCTTTTGGAATATCTGTGTCTTCATTGCTTCCAGGGTCATTTTCTAAGTGCTGCTTGATTTTTTCTTCTAATCCCACAGCATCTGCTCCTTGATACTGATCAATTCTCACTTTGTTTCGAAAAAACAAAAATGTAGGTGTTGCTGATATATTGTTGGTGGCAGCTGTTCCCTAGAATTCACAAGTTGGACAGCGTTATGAATTAAATCTTAAACCACTTTGAATATTCATTCTATACCTTTATGGAAGTTAAATATCATAAGCATGAAGTAAAAACATGTAAAATACTGCATTCTTAATTGTTACTTAAGACAAAAATAGACCTGTTCCTAAAAGAGTTCCCCTTTGGGCATAGCTATATAACCCTTACACACACTATAAAGAACATTGTCTACATTTTTATCATTTTTACTGCTAAATATGTCATCCAGTAGAAAAATTAGTTTTCAATGCCGAAACTGTGCTTTACACCAGACAGGTCTTTCATAATTACAGGTATTTCTCAAAAAGAATAATCAAGAATGGTATTAATAAAGTGAACACAAACCACTACTACGAGAAAAAAAAGTGTCTATCTGGCTAGGCATGGTGGCTCATGCCTGTAGTCTCATAACTTTGGGAGGCCGAGGCGGGTAGATCACCCGAGGTTGGGAGTTCAAGACCAGCCTGACCAACATGGAGGAAAATTCATCTCTACTAAAAATATATAATTAAGCCAGGCACCGTTGCGGGCTCCTGTAATCCCAGCTACTTGGGAGGCTGAGACAGGAGAATCACTTGAACCCAGGAGGCAGAGGTTGCAGTGAGCTGAGATGGCGCCATTGCACTCCAGCCTGGGCAACAAGATCAAGACTCCATCTCAAAAAAAAAAAAAAAAGGAAAAAAAGTGCGCATCTGAAAAACAGTAGTCAATCTGCCTGTGAAAAACAGGCAATGTATTTTGCATTGCAACTGTCACCCAATTTTTACTCTTACAGAAATGTCTTTGGTCACCCATCAAACACATTCCAACAACTATCTTTTTAAATTCTTTCCTAGCTCTACAATTTTATAAGACTACTGAATGGAAATTACCTAATACCCACTGAGTATGCTAGTTTAAACTTTTCATGACAAGTATAAAAGAACCAGTAAAGCAAATATGGTACCTTACATATTCAAATATTATGAATGTCGCTACTATATTATTTAAAGAAAAAGAACATAAAGATGAACATAGGAATGTCTTCTCAAAGCCTCTAAGTTAAAAAACTATGATTGACCTTACAGAGAAGTGCTGTCCAAAACAATGGATATGTAGCACATGAGCTACATATGCAATTTTAAATTTTCTACTATCTATAATAAAAAAGTAAAATAAGTAAAATCAATTTTAATATTACAGCAAACCTAATATATACATTCTCAATCTAATCAACATAAAAAGATAATGCACTATTTTACATTTTTTTCATACTAAGTCTTTAAAATCTGATGTGTATTTTATACTTTCAGTACATCTCAATTTGGTTTTGCCACATTTAAAGTACTCAATAAACACAGGTAGCCACTGGTTACAATACCTGACAGCATAGCTCCAGGAAAAAGCACTTTCATATCAGAAACTGTGATTAAATCAGGGGCCAATAATACAGTTCAATAACTGTGACTAAGTGCTGAAACATAAACGTGTGTAACAAATCCCCAAACTAACTACAAACTACATAATATTCTAAAATGTTTACCACACTCAGAAACTTAACAAAGATAAAGTTGCAGAGCTATAGAGTTGTTCCTTAATCAGAACTAAAGACTCCACTTTTTAGTGTTGGAAAGAGCCTTCCAATTTTTTTTCCCCCTTAACAATTCCCCACATTTCTACATATACAAATACAGAACTGTCACATACCATTCCAACTAAGTAATAAGGGCAATTCACCTACAACACTGTGGCTCAATCAACAGTAATCAACATTTTGGCCAGGTGTGGTGGCTCCCACCTGTAATCCCAGTACTTTGGGAGACCAAGGCAGGCAGATCACAAGGTTAGGAGATGGAGACCATCCTGGCTAACACGGTAAAACCCCGTCTCTACTACAAATACAAAGAATTAGCCGGGTGTGGTGGCAATCGCCTACAGTCCCAGCTACTCAGAAGGCTGAGGCAGGAAAATCACTTGAACCCAGGAGGTGGAGGTTGCAGTGAGCCGAGATTGCGCCACTGCAATCAAGCCTGGTGACAGAGTGAGACTCCATCTCAAAAAAAATAAAAAAATAATAAAAAATAAAGTGATCAACATTTTAAAGTTTCTGCTCAGTACGTTGATTTGGAGATAAGATTACAAACTGATCAATTCAAACTGTAACCAAGAACTCCTTGCCATTGTTGTATAATCGGCCAATGCCTCAGGGGTAGAAGACATAATTGTAGGTTTGCAAAACATAACGAATGTAATACACAGAACTGCCAGGTGACTTATTAACAACATCATATTAATTTTATATCAGACAGTGATTAATACAAACCTGAAGCAATTAATAATGTGCTACTCTTAACTAAGGTAGCCATAATGACATCTGTAATAATGACATCAACATAACATCTTCCTATCTTCAAAGGAATAAGAACTATGTGCATAAAGAGATAAATGAAGAATATTAATGTTGGATTCAAATTTATTCAAAAGTAAATTTAAAAAGATTCCTTTCCCTTACCTGACACTGATGTACATCGACTTCCAAGAAAACAGCTTGTGGATATTTATTACTCATAGAACTGAATGCTGGGGCAATCCTCAAACATGGCCCGCACCTATGAGAAAAGGAAAAGGAACATTAAAATAACACTAAAGCACTCATTGATTAAACATAAACGAGAACAAACACTGATGTTCCTGGCTTTGACTCTCTGGCTTTTTTCTTTTTCTTTTTTTTTTTTTGAGACAGGGTCTCATTCTGTAACCCAGGCTAGAGTACAGTAGCATAACCATGGCTCACTGTAGCCTCCATCTTCCAGCCTCAAACAATCTTCCCACCTCAGCCTTCCAAGTAGCTGTAACTACAAGTGCATGTCACCACACCCAGCTAACCAGCTAGTTTTTTTTTGTTTTTGGACAGATAGGGTCTCACTATATTGCCCAGCTAGTCTCAAACTCCTGGGTTCAAGTGATCCTCCTGCCTTTGGCCTCCCAAAATGCAGACATTACAGGCATGAATCACAACCTTAGGCCAGATTCTCTGGTCTACTTGAGTAAGTTATTCATACACACTTGTATCAATACTATACTGTCTTAATGAGCCCAGATGTTCTATTTAGTCTTCATATCTAATAGTGTTAAATCTTCAAGGTTTGTTCTGAGAGAAATTAAAGAAAACCTAAATAAATGAAGGAATACACTCTGCTTATGAATTTGCAAACTCAATATTGCCAAGATACCGATTTTCCTCGATTTGATGTTTATAACTGATGTTGTAACATCAGCAGGTTTTCCTGTAGAATTTAACAAATTTCAATTCTAAAAATCCTCGAGAAATAACAGGACAGCCCAAGCTGTTTTGAGGTTCAAATCTGAAAAATGCTGTATTAATCAGATAAGAACTACCGTAAAACTTTATTAAGAGAATATAGTACTTGTACAAGAATGAGCAAACTGATTCAATCAGTTTTCTTTTTAAAGAAAAGTCCAGGCTGGGCGCGGTGGCTCAAGCCTGTAATCCCAGCACTTTGGGAGGCCGAGGCGGGTGGATCACGAGGTCAAGAGATCGAGACCATCTGGTCAATAGGGTGAAACCCCGTCTCTACTAAAAATACAAAAAAGTAGCTGGGCATAGTGGCACATGCCTGTAATCCGAGCTACTCAGGAGGCTGAGGCAGGAGAATTGCCTGAACCCAGGAAGTGGAGGTTGCGGTGAGCCGAGATCACGCCATTGCACTCCAGCCTGGGTAACAAGAGCGAAACTCTGTCTCAAAAAAAAAAAAAAAAAAAAGAAAAGTCCAGAAACAGACCCATCTCACATACAGTACTCTGATGTCTGAAAAACTTGATGTCGTATTGCAGTGGGAAAAGGATGGTCTTTTCAATAAATACTCCAGATCAACTGTATACTCACACAGGAGAAGTAATGAATCTCAACACATCATGCACAAAAACCAATTCCAGATGGGTTATAGATCTAAATGTAAAAGGTGAAACAATGGGGATTTTAGGAAAAAGTACAGAAGACACTTTCAAAACCTTGAAATATGCAGTGATTTCTTATACAAAACAAAAAAATACTCAAAAAAAAAGGAATGACAGACTAGACTATATTTGATAAACTGGAAGATTAAGACCTTTTAAGTCATCCAAAAATGTCTTTGAGAGACGGAAAAAGTATTTGCAAAACATCAAACAAAGGACTTAGACTTCTAGTATGTAAACAACTCCTAACAAAAAATAAGGACAAGACTGAACTGCAAAAGAAAAAGAATAAATGCTTGAATAGGCACTTGACAAATGAGATTATCCAAACAGTCAATAAATAAAAGTCAGCCAGGTACCGTGGCTCAAGCCTGTAATCTCAGCACTTCAGGAGGCTGAGGCAGGTGGATCACAAGGTCAGGAGTTTAAGACTAGCCTGGCCAAAATGGTGAAATTCTGTCTCTACTAAAAATACAAAAATTAGCTGGGCGTGGTGGTGAGCACCTGTAATCCCAGCTACTTAGGAGGCTGAGGCAGGAGAATCATTTCAACCCAGGAGGTAGAGGTTGCGATGAGCCGAGATTGTGTCACTGCATTCCAGTCTGGCAACAGAGCAAGACTCCATCTCAAAATAATAATAATAATAATAATTAAATAAATAAAGTCAAAAACTTTCTTTTATAAAGCAGGAAAGATGTTCTACTTCATTAGTCATCAGGGATACCAGGGAAATGCAGATTAAAACCAACTCTGCAAAAATAGTTACAAGAACGAAGTATTGTCAAGAATACAGAGCAACTAAACGTTTATATACTGTGACAGTGCAAGTTGGTATTAACTATTTTGGAGGGAAAAAAAGAAACTACTAGAAATACACCAACCCATCACCATTCCTGGGGGATGTATCTAAGAGAAATGTTTACCGTATTAGAACATCTGATAAAGTATTATTTTAGAACATCTGAAAAGTATTATTAGTAATATTTCTAAGAGTCAAAAATTAGAAACAATGAAATTTTTATCAACGAAAGAATGAGTAAGCTAATTACAGTTATACAATGAAATACTATACAATAATGAAAATAACTGATGTAAAACCTCTTGGAAAAATATAGATGAACCTCACAAATTTCTTACACTGAGGAAAGAAAGCAATATACAGTATACTAGCATATACTCTATGAGTCTATTTACATATGGTTCAAATACAGGCAAAACCAACCAATGGTATCATAAATCAGGACAGTGGTTACCTTAGTGAGTTACTGATAGAATGGGACTTCTGGAGGCTAGTAATGTTTTGTTTGTCTGGAAACTAATTAAATAGGTGTGTTCAGTTTCTGAAAATTCATTGAACTACATATTTCTAATTGCGTGCCACGTATGTCTCAATAAAAGTTTGCAGAAATAAGAAAAATGTTAGCCTTCTGATACAGAAATACAGGAAAAAGCAAATTCTAAAGCACAAAATAAAAACAAATGTTAAAACTCAAAGTTGTGATCAAGTCCACATTCTTAACATTTCAATCAGCATTTTTACCTTGTGTTATCCTCAAGCCACATATCAAAAATCTAAGAAAATAATATTTTACAGTCAACTAAATTAGTCTTAAACTTTAAAAATGGGAATATAAATTGCTACATCATTTTTCAAAAGCCATTGATTGATTGGGTCTTATCTATTCATTTTTAAATGAACACAAGCTGAGACCCAATAATCTCCCTTTGAAAGTCTATTCCATTTTAACAACACTTACTCTATTTCATAATAACAAGTAGTATAAGAAAGTTCAATGTAACATGTTTATAATAGTAAAAAGTCAGAATACCATCTAAACAGCAAGCAATGGAAAAGCAGTTTTAAAAGTCATGACACGGGTGAGGCATGCTAGCTCACGCCTGTAATCCCAACACTTTGGGAGGCAAAGACGGGTAGATCACTTGAGGCTGGGAATTCAAGACCAGCCTGGCCAACATGATGAAACCCCATCTCTACTGAAAACATAAAAATTAGCGAGGCATGGTGGCGCATGCCTGTAATCCCAGCCACTCAAGGCTGAGGCAGGAGAATCGCTTGAACCCAGGAGGCAGAGGTTGCAGTGAGCCAAGATCGTGCCACTGCACTCCTGCCTGAACAACAGAGCAAGACTGTCTTAAAAAAAAAAAAAAAAAAGTTATGACATGTCCACACCAGGGAATATTTTGTATTGCTTAGGGGCAAGAAAGTCTCATTGTAAAATGTTCTCTAGGATCACATTTTAAATCTATGTATATATGTAAACGCATATTAAAAAGATAGGCACGATGAACAGTTAGCATTAATTACTTAGGCAAGTGAGACTGGAAAAGGAAGAGGATTTCAGGAACACTTTATTAAGTATCCATAATTCTGCATTCTTTACTTTTATGCAATGAACAGGTGTTTTCATTTTAAAATATTAAATGAGCTGAGAATAAAGAATTTAATGTTAACTGCTTTTATACAGATGTCACAAATTACAGAGATATCCACACTGTAACACAATATATCCACTCATGAAAACTACCCTCCTGCAAAAGCACATACCAAAAAGAGAGGATTTATGGGAAAAGTAAGTTTGGGGCAAACTACCTGAAACCCATGCAACTTTATAACGAGATCACTAAGAAAGACAATAACTAGGTTGGACACCTCGGCTCATGCCTGTAATCTCAGCACTTTGGGAGGCCAAAGCGAGTGGGTCACTTTACGTGGGGAGTTCAAGACCAGCCTGGACAGCATGGTAAAATCCCATCTCTAATAAAAATACAATATTTAGCTGGGTGTGGTGGCAGGTGCCTGTAGTCTTAGTTACTCAGGAGGCTGAGGAAGGAGAATCACTTGAATCTGGAAGGTGGAGGTTGTAGTGAGCTGAGATTGCCAAGATTGTGCAATCCAGCCTGGGTGACAGAGCGAGACTTCTTCTCAAAAAAAAAAAAAAAAAAAAAAAGACAGTAAGACAGTAACCAGGATTTACAAAAAAGATGGACAACCTAGCATGTGGCTCAGAGCTGGAAGCTACCTTGAGGAATATTTGAAATGAACAAAATTAACTGGAAGTGATGCTTAGGTGTTGTCACAAAGCAGACTGAAATGGAGCTCTGAGCCAGTGAGGCTGCCATTAAAGAAGGGACAACAGAAAATGTAATACTTAAAATAAACCCTTCTGGGGAACAAGCGCTAGGTGTAGGCACTCTTATTTAATTTCATTAACTTTCTTAAAATAAACATGAAAGGGGATCTGCCTGTGTGGCTAAGAGCTTTCTGCTTCCAGATGAAGGTTTTATTTCTATTTTTCACTACCCAGGAAAAATCACATATGAACCAATACAACTTCCAAATCACACTGACAACTCTCTATTCATCAATTATTTATTAGCTAACTGGTGTTACAGACATACATCCTGCAGCTGAAAAGACTATTAAAATTATGGTTACTGTGCAAAAATCTGTTTCAAGATTTAACTTTATCTGGATTCTTTCATTTTAGTTATCCATCATAGGTTGGAACTTTAGTCAAAAATCAAAATACATCGTAAAGCAGAGAAGCATAAGCATATACAAAAGAACAAATACATACAGCGGAGTACTTTCACAAACCAATCATTCAAA